TCTCAGAATACATCAAAGGCGGCGATATAACAACAAAGCGTTATGCCACATGAACAAGCAGCAAACTCTGCATCCTATGCTCGCAAAATGGATAGCAAAAACATTCCATCACCACTTCACGATTATACACATGCCAGGCAAAGGGAATGAAGTTGCTGACAGATTGTCAAGACTACACGAAGACACATTCAACATCAAAACATCGAATGTGTTGAAAGAAGCCAATGAGCACATACACAATGGTCAGGAATACACCGACTTAGAAACATACTTGCCCATCTTAGTGTCTGCCATTGACTGGAAACTACATCCGCGATAGAAGGCCTGTTTGATAAATTCACCATTGGTTTATTTGAAGCCGCACACAATGCTCAAACCGCGAAATTCTACACCAAAGAATAAACGCGCTGCTACAGAAGTGGGCAGATGAAATAAACGCATGGGCAAATCCTCCCTGGGAACTAATACCAGACGTGTTAGGCAAAGTCATAGAGGAAGCCACAAGCATTACAATATGCGCTCCGTACTACCCAACCGCAACATGGTTCCCCAAATTCCTGTCATTACTGGAACAAGATCCAATGATAGTTGAAAACACAAACAACACGTTCTTAAAGAACGGCACAATTGCCTGTGGTAAAACACCATGGGAGGTCACATTAGTTGTCAAAATAGGCACAAAGTCCCCATACTTTGACCAAAAACTATCGCATCCTGCAGTGAACATTGCACCCATACACATCGCGGATGAAACCGCAGAGCTAGACACAGACACATATGAAGACAGAGCCACACTCATAGCTCAATACCACACAGTGGGTCACTACACTGTCGAAGAAACAGTGAACAAACTCATACTCGACGGCCACACATGGTTTAGACAAAAGGAACATGTCAACCAATATATTGAGGGATGTGTACCATGTCTCAAGAACAAATTCACAAGAAGGGATTCCACCCTTTACAATCAATAACCGCTGCCTTCCCGGGCGACAGGATACAAGTGGATACCATAGGTCCCTTGATAGACTCGAATAGGGGCAACACGTACGTTCTGGTATGGTTAGATGTATATTCATCATACGCCATACTCAGACCAATGATGGACAAATCGACAGCCGCTGTTGCCCGAACACTAGTTCCAATCATGTGTGAACATGGATTTCCACAAGTCGTACAGACGGATCAGGGCACAGAATACGTGAATGACATACTCTCAAAAATCATTGAGCAGGCACCGTCACAACACTTAGTGTTCAGACCGTATCAACCCAAAGTAATGGAAGCAAATGAGCGCTCGCACAGAGACCTCATCCCTTTACTATGGAAATTTGTTGAACAAAATCCAGGCAACTGGTGCTCACGCCTCCCATTTGTCCAAATGGGCCACAACCTACGTTCCTCACGCAGACACAAATCACCAAGGTTCAATGTGTATTATGGGCGACGATAAAACCAACTCACAAATCATGACACAACGGTCAGTGCACCAGGTACAACTATACCATGGGAAACACGACTACAGAATCTGGAGGAGTCGATAAGACCACAACTAGATGCCAATGTGGCACAATACCAAGAAAAAAATGCGCGCAGCATTTGATCGCAAAGATCAAGAGAAGTATGTACACTTGCAAGCAAGGGACATTGTGATGGTTCGTTACTTAGGTGAAATGAATAAAATGACAGCACCATATGGAGGCCCATACAAGATAGCAAGCAAAGAGGGCAACGGATATTTCGTCCGTAACCTTAAGTGGGTACCAAAAACCAAGATATAGATAAGTCTATATCATCAATGCTTCTGCTCCTCAGACATCTCTTGAGGAGCCTATGACTCAAGGGGAACTCTCTCTCTCACGAGTTCTTACTCGGGGGAAGTTCAAACTTCTTCGAATACGTCAGATGCTGATACACTTAAGTGGATCAAGCAATATTATCACTTGACGCATTCAGCAGAGATGCGATGATTCCAGAAGCAAAGCGTAGAGGTCTGATCAATCTTAATCTGCGTAAACTCTGCGAGTAAGAATACTCTAAGTGTGTTGATTGTGAAAAGACACAAATCAAGCGCTGTGGTTGGGGCCCACTTAAGTCGGTGCTTGAAGATGAACCTATGCGCATGGTCATCATTGATTTGGTTGTAAGGGATATAGTTGGACGACATGATGAGAAGTATGTATTTCATATGTTTGATGTACCCTCCAGGTATAACTTATTTAATCCTGTCAGGAATAAACTATTTGAAACAATGGCGGAATTATGCTTACGCATCTTTGCCGATCACGGCTACCCATTATTCTTATGTCATGATAATGGCGACGAGTTTATAGGCGTATTAATGATGGCTTTTAAACTCGTATCTGGCATATGTGGAAAACGGGGAGTTCCCTATAAGCCACAAACGCAAGGTGCCAATGAAGTACGTCATAGGAAACTTAAGTTTCTATTAAGGACTGCACTATAAGACGATGCTAGAGATTGGCCCTATCGCTTGACATGGGTACAAGATCAGATGAACGAAACACCTGATCCTGTCACCGGCATAACCCCGTCACACTATTTCCGTGGTAGAAAAAGTATGTTACAACCCCTTGTAGAAGGGGTAGCTGGAAAGGTACAGTCACATAAGCGGCTGGAAAGATTAAATAGAGTACATAAGGTTTTATACCCTGTACTTAAAGAAAAGCGAATCACTGTAATTTTAAAAGCGCAAGGTTGCTGGTCTCATATGAAGATACAAGTTTACTTCAAAAAATGTGATTATATTAACAAAACCCAGAGAAATTCGTACACGGGTAAATTTTATTCTTACTATATAGGTTCTTATACGATCTCTGTTTATGACTTCATGACGAAAAGTCTGATACCTACAAGATTATTAATGTAGATGGTACAAGCGCCTTAATGTGGGCTTATCTCGTATACCGAGGGACCAAATAATACTCTGTTGAACATGTGATGATAATACACCCCCTGAACAACATGAGTTCAAGAAGATATAGGTATAGAATCTTTTAACGGAATTACTTATTATAAATCATAGTTTCACGACAATGAGGTTTATAACCTTACGTCTTCAGACTTTGGAAACCCTGATTACTTAAAAAATATCAATAAGAAATGGCGTAGGCGCTTACATAAAAACCAGGAAGATATAGACAAGCTCTTTCCTCAAGCAGATAAGATTGTTACGCACTTTTATGCTGGTCTTGAGTTCTGGTCTTCTCTTTATATAGATAAACTAAAAATCTATGTCACGAAAGCGTGTACACCAAAAAACGGTTGGAACTGGGAATACCAAGCGAACAAGGGTAGACTCACACACGTGAGGAATATTTACATATTAGGATATTCTAGAATATTATAAGTATTTATATACCTTGCTACCTTAGGTTTTACACCGCATATGCTTCCTTTCTCGATATTTCTCCACGATGGTACCTAGGTAGTACTATATTCGATAGCTTAGAGCTGGCGGGGGGCTATGATATCATAGCAGGTCCTAGATGTATTCAAGATAATACTATCTAATAAATCTAGCATTGTCTTATGTAAAGGGTTTTACTATGTAATATTACTAATACATATATTATATATAACTTATGTTATATATAATATAATACCTTTTAAAGGGTAAATAGTTTTCCTTTATAGATGACTCACAGTATAAAGGATGAAATTATTTATGTTTATTCTTTTAAAAGATAAACAAAGGTTTTTATAAACTAACAATTGATAAACTTAGTTTATACAAACTAAAAGATTTAATTATTAATAACACCAACCTCAGGCCGACCCCTAGGGCATTACCACAACAACCTGGGGACGAAATGACAATTTTTATTTTTATTTTTATTTTTCTTAAGTGGCCATTTAAATTCAATTCTAACGATTTCAATCGTCCATTTAACTGAAAGAATTGAAACTTTATTAAATTTTCAGAAATCCTTAATAAAATATCGATGAAGGCTGGGACTTGGCGGCCTATAAAGGCCAGGTGCCCCCTGACTAAGGCCTCAGTCTTTAGCTAGTTACTTTAAAGTACCTAGCTATTAACAGCTGGACTTGAAAGTTAGCTTAATTTTTTAGTCTACTGCGCCTTTATTTAATTAGTCAATTTACTATAGCTATTACAGTCCATATCGGTTTATATTTCTTGTTATCGACCCATTGGAACAATGCTCCGCCTATAACGTATTCACTAGCATCGGTCGACTAGTTCAATGGCACCCTTTCTATCGAGAATTACACCGCCATTGCATTCACCACCGCATCCCTCATCGCCTGCCACGCTTCTATATGTCGTTATTCCCAACGATCACTGATCAACTCGGTTGGTCTTAGACGCAGCGGCGCCAAAATGTAGGCAAAGTTAGGTAGGTATTCGTGGAGGTATTTCGCTAAGCCTAGAGCCGATGCTATGTCCTTGTATCGTTGCGGGGCTGGCCAATCTAGCAGTTTTGCTTAATTCTTATAGTCCACATCGACGCCTTGCGCCAACACCTTGCCCAGTATTATTACTTCCGCAATTGCAAAGTGGACTTGGCTGGATTCAGTTTAAAACTATGGTATGTGGGACGCTTGATGACCTCCTTTATTGTGCTGATATGTTCGTCGCGATGTAGTGATGTGATGGTAGTCCGTCCAGGATTGTTCCTAATGTACGCTGGAACTGCTGTGTCAACACATACAGGCCAAATGGTACCGATGTGAACGAATACTGGTGCCGTTCATGTGTGAAACTGAACAAGTACCTGTGAATCCGGATATATCGGCCGCCGAGATGTCCAGTGTTGTGTAGTACCTCTTTCTCTTGAGCGGAATGAGTCTGTTAACTTTCGGAAATAAGAATTGGTCACCTGGGATGAGTACATTCACCGCGCGCATGTCTAAACACACCCTCACCCTCTTGACGTTGCCTTCACTGTCAAACGTGAGTACAGTGAGCAGTGGTAGATAGACTGATGTTGGAGTCGATTAATGAATATGTCCTCCAATCACTTCTGTACTTGTTCGTCGACGTAAGGTAGCCATCGGTCCAATACGCAATTACGTGTGGATCTGCGCATGCTCATGGCTTGTTCACGCGTAGTGTCCGGTACCGTTACTTCACTCCTCTCGAGGCGACATTGTGCGTTGTCTGCAATCGCTGCGTTCGCCTCTAACGCCGATGTCAACCGTTGTCGAGTGTCAGCTGGTTCCGTTGTATTTGGTGACTGACGACGTTGTATAGGTTTCAGTAGTTTATCAAGCTCCACGGGGTTGATATATGCGAGAAGTGATTTGATACCCCCTATGTATAACCTCAGACCCTTCATCATGTCCCGTCTTAAGATAATGTCCATCAGTGTAGGCAGGTTCATTATTTCGAGCGAACCATTGAGAATCTTCGTGCCGTACCGTATATGTAATACTTCCGTCATCCCCAGTCGCGGAGTTTGCACCGCCTTGTCAGCTATACAGATCAACGAACCAGGTGGTGCTGGAGTAATAGAACGGATATATA